CATTTATAATTTTAATATTATGTAGCATAATTTTATAATCTTAAATAAAAATTAAAACTACTATTTTTCAAAAAATACCTAAGAATTCATTAACTATTCTTTGAAATATTTATACATTTTTTAAAATAATCAGGTCATTCCTGGATTAAGTTTTATTTAATAGTTCATTGTTCTTAATAATAACAGTATACGTAAGTTCAGGAAAGATTTTCGATACTTCTTCATGTATAAAGAATAGTAACCGTTATATTCATCTGTATTTGAACTATTTACTCTCACTAATTGGCAATTTTCTTCTGAGTGTGCTTCTACTTCGTTACTGGTCGGAATGTATTGCATTGATGGTTCAAACATTTAAATATCTCCTCGCGAAGTAGACTTGGCAGCAGATATTTCCACACACTGTGTTGCTATAGTCAGGACAATCGTTTGTATTACAAAGTATAGTACGAGTATCATTAATTATTTTCTCTTCAGAGTCCTACTGGATACAAATAATTATATTAAATAAATAATATCAAGATTTGGGGTTGTGAGAAAGAGAATTTATAGATATTTTAAGAATTATTTAACATCGCTAATGAGTATGATACTTTACAATAACATGAAATACAAATTACTTATTTTTTTATATTCTTGATTTTAATTCAGAAACAAATGTTTTTTTTTTTAAATTTCCGATAATAAATGTGAATAATGTTTACAATGAAACTAACTAGCTGCAGTTTTAATAAACGATTGTTTAAAGCATCTTAAAATATTAACAACTTATTACTCCTTTGGTCAATAGTGGGTCAGAAGTGTAATGAAATAATCATTCATTGTAATATGCCTATGGTTCCGTATATTAAAGGACATTTATTAAGAAACTTATAATCAGTTACTATTCAGAAGTTTTAATTACATTGAGTAAGTTTAAATAATAAGTACACTTAAAAACTTATGGATATTGAAAAAGAACTAAAGAGAATACAACTCAAATTAATTTGCAAATTAAGAATGACGACAACAATAAAAAAGATCAAAAATAGCCCTTCAAATCGAAAACAATATCGGTATATACAGCAGTAGGAAGGAGATATATAATAGGAATTACTTGAATATTTGAATTGCTTGGTTCGTCTTTATTTTCTTCTACTGGGTGAATTTGATTATATTGAACGTTCAACTAATGTTTAGTTTAATGAGGAACCAACATGATACAACATTCTATTAGAATGGATTGTTTTCTAGAAAGATAAAAAGTGCATGCATTTTTTATCATCTCTCCTATTAGTTTATTGATATGAATACGATACATAGTACTGCTCCTTTACTTTTATTTCACCCCCTCACTTCAAAACGATTACAGTAACATGCAATAGATGCATGAATTAAAGCGATTTAAGAAAATTTAGCTAGAAATATAATAGTATTATAGGCAATGCTACACCAAGTGGCTATTTCTTCCATACAATATTTGCATAAGCACCAAGTATCCTTGCATATAAAACTTGATTATTATTAAACATAAATAAATAATAAATTATGAGTCTTTACTTATTTTAGTCTTGAAATGCAATCTCATTACTTTGACTATAGGGGGGATAAGGTTATCAGTTTGAGCCTGACGTGTAATTAAGCCAGGGAGGAAAGAAACCATTTTATAAGCAACACACAATATATTTCAGAGTTTCGGAGTCAAAGCATCGCAGTTTTAATAAGTCGTGCTGTCTTTATCCTTGTTTCTTAGCATCCCTTTGTTGAGGCTTCTTCGCTGACGATCCAGCTCTCGGAATACAACTGCAGTAGCATACGTCGTTTATACATGTGCCGGTACAGGTAGCACTCAGACATATTTGAGTACAGGTACTCTGGCATGACAATTCATCACAGTAGATTCCTGTCGAAAAATTAACTCTTGTCATTATCGTATTATATGAACAACATTTTGCTGTCGGAAGCGTTGTTAATTTTTGATTATGTTACAATATCAACCATTGTAGCAGCAGTATGAGGTGTACGGGAAAAAGGTGTGGATCGACTTGATCTTGAAATTGGGATATTTCATATTGTCTTAATAAACTTAAGGAGCCATATCGCAAATAAATAAAACGTCTAGTTGTTCCTTTTGTGGTTTTGTGATATAAAATGTATGAAATATAAATAAGAATATAATATGCTTACCATCTTCTGCCGCTATATTTCCCATCTGCAACATGACAAAGATGCCAACCAAGAGGGTAGACAAGAACTTCATATTTGGTTTTTGTATGTTTCAAAGATCACTTTGTTAACTTAAAATTTTTGTTTTCAGTCTTACTATTTATTGGAACATTAACAAAGCATGAATTTCTAGTGTCAATTAAATTTGAAGCGGTTTTCAGTCATGTAACGACAAAATTGACGAGTGAAATTTCACCTGACTTCTTTTAAGGAAAAACATTGCTGATTTTCGTTTATGATGATACAATTGTCACAATTTGGACTTTTGAGAATTTAAAATGTTTAACATTCTTAGTCTTATGTCTTGAATAACATTAGAGTTGTATCTTGACTTGAGTGGAGACGAAGTTTTATGATTTTGTTTTCAACCGAGGAACGAACAAATTTTTTCTTCTCCTTTTTTATACATACATATATACAGATATCACTAAAACTGAACTTATAATTTGTGATTACAAGCATGAATAACATCTAAAACGAATTAGGTGTTGTTGTAATAAAACATAATTGCAACAAAGCAAAGTGCGGTTAAAAAACATTAAAATGGAATCAATATATCAGATCTCAATGAGAACATTTTAAATGGTTTTAAAAACTTTAGGAAGAATTCCCTCTATGGATATTACTTTATTTAAGCAGAATCCTTATTTTTTAGTTAATCGATCGTTTACTGGCTGTATTTTTGAGTTGAATCTTAAATTATACATCTTCATCAGTACAGTCCTTAACCATAAAATTAATTCAATGACAGCCAACCACAAAAGTGTCCAATTCAATATTGACATTTTTTTACGATAACTCAGTAGTATCTTGCAACTAAAAAGCTACATATAGAAAATAAAATTGTTGAAATTCTTTAATCCAACGAGATTTTAAGCATATTTAAATACATACACCATTAAAATGTTCCATTCTGTTTAATTTTAGTTTTGGACTACATCGTCACGTATATAAAGTTATAAATATGTATAATATAATAATATTTTTTAAAAATAATACTCACAATGACGCAACTTTATTTTGCGACATACAAAGCATAATGTATAAGAATATAAATCATTTGTATGGAAAAAATAGCATTTATAATTTTAATATTATATAGCATAATTTTATAATCTTAAATATAAATTAAAACTATAATTTTTGAAAAAGTACCCAAAAATTTGTAAGCTATTCTCTGAAATATTTATACATTTTTTTTAAATAATCAGGTCATTCCTGGATTAAGTCTAATTTAATAGTTCATTGTTCTTAATAATAACAATATACGTAAGTTCAGGAAAGATTTTCGATACTGCTAATATCAACTTCTTTATGTATAAAGAATAGTAATCGTTATATTCATCTGTATTTGAACTATTTACTCTCACTAATTGGCAATTTTCTTCTGAGTCTGCTTCTACGAGTACTTCGTCGGAATGTATTGCATTGATTGTTCAAACATTTAAATATCTCCTCGCGAAGTAGACTTAGCAGCAGATATTTCCACACACTGTGTTGCTATAGTCAGAACCATCGTTTGTATTACAAGGTATAGTACGAGTATCTTTAATTATTTTCTCTTCAGAGTCCTACTGGATACAAATAATTAAATAAATAATATCAAGATTTGGGGTTGTGAGAAAGAGAATTTATAGATTATTTCAGAATTATTTAACATCGCTAATAAGAATGATATTTTACAATAACATGAAATACAAATTACTTATTTTTTTATATTCTTGATTTTAATTCAGAAACAAAGGTTTTTTTTAATCCGATAATAAATGTGAATAATGTTTACAATGAAACTAGCTAGCTGCCGTTTTAATAAACGGTTGTTCAAAAAAGCATCTTAAAATATTAACAACTTATTACTCCTTTGGTCAATAGTGGGTCAGAAGTGTAATGAAATAATAATTTTTTGTAATATGCCTATGGTTCCGTGTATTAAAGGACATTTATTAAGAAACTTGTAATCAGTTACTATTCAGAAGTTTTAATTAAATTGAGTAAGTTTAAATAATAAGTACACTTAAAAATTTATAGACATTGAAAAACAACTAAAGGGAAATACAAACCAAAATTAATTTGTTAATTAACAATGACGACAACTACAAAAAAGATCAAAAAATAGTCCTTCAAATCGGTATTATATACAGTAGTAGAAAGGAGATATATAATAGGAATTACTTGAATATTTGAATTGCTTGGTTTTCTTTATTTTCTTCTACTGGGTGAATTTGATTATATTGAAAGTACAACTAATGTTAAGTTTAATGAGGAACCAACATGATACAACATTCTATTAGAATGTATTGTTTTCTAGATAGATAAAAAGTGCATGCATTTTTTTATCATCTCTCCTATTAGTTTATTGATATGAATACCATACATAATACTGCTCCTTTACTTTAACTTCATCCCCTCTCCTCAAAAGATTACAGTAACATGCAATAGATGCATGAATTAATGCGATTTAAGAAAATTTAGCTAGTAATATATTAAATATAATAGTATTATAGGCAATGCTACACCAAGTGGCTATTTCTTCCATACAATATTTGAATAAGCACCAAGTATCCTTGCATATAAAACTTGATTATTATTAAACATAAATAATAAATTATGAGTCTTTACTTATTTTAGTCTTGAAATGCAATCTCATTACTTTGACTATAGGGGGGATAAGGTTATCAGTTTGAGCCTGACGTGTAATTAAGCCAGGGAGGAAAGAAACCATTTTATAAGCAACACACAATATATTTCAGAGTTTCGGAGTCAAAGCATCGCAGTTTTAATAAGTCTTGATGTCTTTATCCTTGTTTCTTAGCATCCCTTTGTTGAGGCTTCTTCGCTGACGATCCAGCTCTCGGAATACAACTGCAGTAGCATACATCGTTTATACATGTGCCGGTACAGGTAGCACTCAAACATATTTGAGTACAGGTACTCTGGCATGACAATTCATCACAGAAGATACCTGTCGAAAAATTAACTCTTGTCATTATCGTATTATATGAACAACATTCTGCTGTCGGAAGCGTTGTTAATTTTTGATTATGTTACAATATCAACCATTGTAGCAGTCGTATGAGGTGTACGGGATAAAGGTGTGGATCGACTTGTCATATATTCGATATGAAATCATAAAATTGGGATACTTCAGACTGTCTTAATATACTTAAGGAGCCATATCATAATAAATGTCTAATTTTATGACATAAAATGTATGTAATATAAATATATACTTACCATCTTCTGCCGCTATATTTCCCATCTGCAACATGACAAAGATGCCAACCAAGAGGATAGACAAGAACTTCATATTTAGTTTTTGTATGTTTCAAAGATCACTTTGTTAACTTAAAATTTTTGTTTCTATTCGTACTATTTATTGGAACATTAATAAACCATGAATTTCTAGTGTCAATTAAATTTGAAGCGGTTTTCAGTCATGTAACGACAAAATTAAAAGGAGAAACTTCACCTGACTTTTTTTAAGGAAATACATTGCTGATTTTCGTTTATGATGATACAATCCATCTATTAAAGTGTCACAATTTGGACTTTTGAGAATTTAAAAAGTTAGATGTATTTGAATAACATTAGAGCTGTATCTTGACTTGAGTAGAGACGAAGTTTTATAATTTTGTTTTCTACCGAGGAACGAACAAACTTTTTCTTCTCATTTTTTATACATACATATATACAGATATCACTAAAACTGAACTTATAATTTGTGATTACAAGCATGAATAACATCTAAAACGAATTGGGTGTTGTTGTAATAAAACACAATTACTTTGACTATTAATTACTTTTGTATAGCAACTGCCTATCCCACACTTTAAGACGATAATTGTATAGTAACAGTCAATACATTCGTTTTATTTACATCGGTAAATCTTAAATGATACAATGGTAGACTCCATCGTACTACTTGAAATAATATTAGATATTATATTAACCTTTTATTCAACTTGTAAGTTTACATATTATGTTTGTTATGAGGAAATTATGTTCAAGATTCTAGCATTTTAGTATTCTTCTTCTTCAACCTGGCAATTACCCAGCTTTAACCAGGGTCTGCCTTACATGTTTGTAAATAGTTTTGAATAATTGTTTTAACGACCGGCCGCCTGCCTGATATCAACCCTCTTTTTGGGAATTCATTAATCAGTGATGTTTAAATACTCTTAGAAAGTACATATGACTCGGAAAAATTATATTGGTACTTGCCAGGATCGAACCCGCGCCCTCACGCATGAGAGGAGAGCCTTTTAACCACTAGGCCACCACTGATTTATTATTAGTATTCTGTGACGTCATTATTAAAAATTTCACGAAATCCATGATATCGTACTAACTATTAAAGGTTTTAATTATTTAATTCATTGTGTAGTATTCCAACTCAAGTAAGGCTCGCGACAAGCTCTTGTTTCATATAAATTATGTTATGACGTTATCAGTATGTATTAATAGTTTAAAAATAAAAATGTATTGTTTAATTTTATATACTTTTTATTTTTATTTATTACTCTAGTTATTTAATATGCGTTTCTGCCAGCCAGAGGTTTCAGCTAAACTACGAAACTTCTATATACAGGATGACTGGTGAATTACTATCAATATTTAAGGAGAATACTCGGTACATGATTCTCATTCGAATTATGTAAAAAAAATAGGCACTTAATTTTTGACTAAATTTCCGTATAAATAAATAAAGTGTTGACACGTTCCAAGTGTTCCAAGTGTGGACGCGTGCGGCGGCGTGCTGATACAACACATCGCCGCTGCACGCGTATGAGTGTGTGTGTGTGTATACCTAATCTGTAGGGTGTTCATACGATGCGTAATTAATTACATAACTTTTGGTTAACTTTACTCTGAAGTTTATTAATATTTATGTTATGTTAATTTTTATTTTGTCATATTTGATCGTAAAATATCACGTCCTCAAATATCGATAGTAATTCACCAGTCACCCTGTATATATATTGGCAGACCCTGGCTAAAGCTGGGAAATTGCCAGGAAGAAGAAGAAGATATATATATTATAATAATTATTATTACATCTTAAAACTTAAAATCGATACCTAAGACTACTTGATTTATATTAAACGATCCCAAAAATGTTCAATGACTAATTTATGTAAGATATTTGTTTCAAAAACTTAACATAAGGATCAAACACAGAAAAATATTTTGTTCCTTATTTTCCACTAGAATGGCATGAGCAACTAAATTGACAGAAAAAGCCTAATAGGGCTCTTCAAATTCTTAAGAAGTATATTAAAAAAATTCAATAATATATAATATATATGATCAATATAATTTAATACCAAGCAATCTGCGTTTGTGATTAATACAGCCTCCTATCAGAAGTAACTGTAATTCTTTCTGAATAATAATAATATTATACTATTTGATTTAATGAAAATTAAAAATGAAATAAAAAGTCAGTTCATATTTCAAGACTCCGTTGTATAAAACTATTTAAATGAATTAAATAACTGTTATGACTGGACATTTCATTGAGTTTTTACTTGGAAGTATCAAAATATTGTGAGTATTCTGTGTCTAATCTCGTTCACTGGCTTATCGTTATTGTAATTGCTTGTCTGCATTGCTTACGTCCACAGTCCTATAGCATTTAGTTTTTTTAAACTGACCCTTCTTCTTCTTCTTCTACCTGGCAATTTCCCAGCTATAGCCAGGGTCTGCCTTACATGTTATGAATAGTTTTTTTGGCTATTTGTTTTTACGACCGGCCGCCTGCCTGACATCAACCCTCTTTTGGGAATCAACATTAATCAGTGATGTCTAAATACTCTTAGAAAGTACATATGATTCGGAAAAATCACATTGGTACTTGCCCGGGCCAGGATCGAACCCGCGCCCTCGGCGAAGAGAGGCCGAGAGGCGGGCCCTTTAATCACTGAGCCACCACTGACTTCTAAATTGACCCTTGACAGAGATATTTTAAAGTATTACTTTTCAAAAGGAAACTCGTTAAATATTCGTTTTAAGAAACGTTTCTCATATTTATTTTTTCATACATTACTCACATCTTTCACAAGCTAAGCTTAAGGAAATAAGTAAAAGTCTTTTACATTATTCTCTGCTTCTATGATATACTTCTTCTAAACTCCAAATAAAAAAAAATCTATATAGAGAAACAATTCATTTATTTTTAATCAACAGCTGGAAAATCCAAAACATTTTTCGACTTCAATTTTATCAATAATTGCTTGAAAACTTTTACTCGATATTTATAATTACAATTTTTATTTTAATGAACCATATACCGAATATTGTAAAATTTAAATAAGGCCTAACCACAAGATAATAATTAAAAAATACTGTGAGAAAAGACTATGTTCAGGATCCCTTTTAGAGCATGCTAAAGTTGATGTTGAATGCCAAAATTTTAAACAAGAAGTCTATAATTCGTAGACTCACTTAATCTATAGTGTTGTTATAGAATCACTGTGAAAGATTCATAAATTTTACTGCGGCGTATCATTTTATGGTGAAGCCTATTTATTTTCCAAAAAATTGTTTTTATTTTATTTCCATTATATGTTTTAATCCTATTTCATTAAGATACTAATAATAACATGAATTGGAATTTATTTTTAGATAAAATACAGTTACACTTTGTTTATTTTTAAAGTTAATAAAAAAGCAGAGGATAGATATCGAAAAATTTTTTTCATATCTTTGTATTTAGAAGTCATAAAATAATTTATTATTTAATAAGTTTCGTAATAAATGTTAAATATAGTGAAAATATTATGATAAATTAAAATTATCCATTCAAATAAACAAGAAGACTTTTATATAAATTGACAAGCATTTTATAACATGTAATGAGTGAGTTACGTTGGTTTTGAAAAAAAAGTACTTTAAAGTCACCTCTAATATATGATTTTTAATGAAAACATAACCGGAAGAAACTATTGGTCTCAAATAATAAAGTATTAAAGTCAAGCATCTTGCGGGTAGTCAAGAGGATCGTTGGAAACGATTTGTGAAGGCATCAGTCGCCTGTAGCTTCTACGTTTTAAAGTCTTACCCTTTGTATAAATACATAGTATATAAAATATATTGTTTTCATATCTTCATGATTTATATAATAATCTCATTATTACATCACATATTATTTTCTCACTTTAAGTCTTTACAATATTATTTTATTCTTTACAATTCGGATACATACTGACAATTGTCAAATTTAGGTAGTAATCATTGTTATTGAGATCTGAGATTTTAGGGAGTAATTATTTAAATGAAACTAATATTTTTCAGTTGTAGTACGCGATTTTTATTTTTGTTTATTATGTCATGTAATCGTCGAGACGACATCTCGTCTGCCCGTGGTCACGGTTCTTCTTCTTATCTTCTATATATATAAAAATGGATTGCTGTTCCTTAGTCTCGCTAAAACTCGAGAACAGCTGAACGGATTTATCTTATCATAGTCTTGAAATGTTCATGGAGGTTCAGGGAAGGTATAAAAGCTGAAAAAAATTTATTCATTACTGGGAAAACCATAAAAACAGTCCTTTTCTATTTCCCATACAAACGTTTTTTTGACATTAGATTTGACAACTAACTAATATGTCAATCATTCTGTCGCAGTTCAAAACACGGAGATTTATGGCTTACAGGTAAACTCCAAAAATATAAATAAAAAAACGTTATAGATATTTCTTGATTATAGGGCGATACGAAGTTCGCCGGGTCTTCTAGTCAAAAATAAAAATCACGTAGTACATCAGAAAAATATTAGTTTCATTTATGTAACAATTATTATTACTTTAATTTTATTATTGGCCGCAATGTAAAAAACATCTTGCACTAATCTTATATTAACGGATTGAATGAAACGTGTGATTTGTGATAGAATATTTATTTTATTTTTTCATTAAAAACATCCAAATAATAATTTGAATTGTAAGTTATATTCTCATTTACTTCGATTGGGCTTTATTGGTTGGCTTATAAGTGCAATAGCATTGATTGTTAAGGCACGAAGGGATGCACTTATCATAGCCGCATTTTGCATCACAATAAGCTTTGCAGTCATCAGCCGTGTAGCAGGCGTCTGTAAGTGTAAATAAATCATAATAATTACAATATTTCTATGAATTTTAATAACAATACTTTAGAATATTTGAACACCAAATAAAATTAATATATCAGGATGGGCTACGCGTTTTTTATTATTATTATAAACTACACACTCCCGACGTTTCGGTTACTTTGTAGCGACAGTGATCACGAGAAAATGAGATGAAAAAACGAAACGTCGGGAGTATA